GAGTGAGTGAGTGAGTGAGTGAGTGAGTGTGGGAGTGGGAGTGGGAGAGGGAGAGGGAGAGGGAGAGGGAGAGGGAGAGGGAGAGGGAGAGGGAGAGGGAGAGGGAGAGGGAGAGGGAGAGGGAGAGGGAGAGGGAGGGCGGGGCAAGAAAATCCAATTGCTAGCCCTATAGCACACCCCCCAGGCCAAAGACCTCTTGATGAAGCCGAATCCTTCAGCCCAGCAACTCCTGCCGCGTCTCCAGGCGTGAGGCCTTCATGGGAAGACCGTCTCCACGGGAGGTCCGGGCCGACCAGGTCGAGCCTGGCATGTCTCTTCACCAGGCACGCTAACTAAGAAGACCAGGTAACTGGGAGAACGCTGCCTGGGAATGTTTGGGATGCTGGAAAATCCCAGTTAGAAGACCCAGCAACACATAAAAGACCAGATATGGCGCTATGCAAACATCTTTTAACAGTTGCCCTCTCGCCTGCAAAGGTGCTGGCTGAGGAAAGCTGCGACCTGATCAGAAGTCGTGGCAGCGAAGGTGGGAAAGGACCGATTTGCTCTTGGACCGTTGGCTACACAAAATTGAGTGATCGAATCTATATACACGCGTGGCTTATTCTCATGGAAACTTCCCTCTCCATCCTCTCAAAAGCCTCGAAGACCGTGCTCCAAGTTGTATTAGGGACTGCGATAAGCTAGGGACGCAGTCATACCCTTGATCCATAAGCAATGCAGTACAAATCTGAGTTGGCGCGGACATTCTCCGCATCAAAACATGAACCTGCAAAATTCATGCTCGTGGTGCAGGGCATTCTGTTTGCATGCAGCACCGCAAAACCGGGGGTTGGGCTGGCCACTGGTCACCATAGTGCAAATCCATTCTCTTTCAAAAGTGACATATCATGACATATCTATTGTGATTGTACAAAGAAACCGCAGCAGTGTCTCTCTCTCTCTCTCTCCCTCCCTCCCTCCCTCCCCACCAACCAACTCATCGCAGTCTGACCCTTCACCCACTCTCACGGGTTGCAGCTTGTCTTCCATTCTCACACACGTCCCCCAGCGCATCGTCTTTGGCACCATGCTCACCCCCCCCAACATCCACACCTCAAACCCCCCACCGCCACCAAATGCCCCCGCTCCGCCCCCGCTCCGCCGCCCCCGCCAGCGCTCCTGCCTCCGCGGTACCGGCATGGCCTGCGCCGGCACGCGGCGCAGGGCCCAGCCATGGGAGTCCAAGGCCACGTCCTTCGTCTCCGTGCCTTGCGCCAAACAACGCCGGGGTGTCGACCCCGTGCGGTCGTCGAAGCGCGGGCTTCGGCTCTTGTGGGTCGGGCGCGCATGGGGTCAGAGGGAAAGCTCCAATGGTCAATCTGAAGGGAGGGTGTGCTTGATGTGCTTGGTGAAGGTCGGATGGAGATGTTCTTTTGTTTTCCGGTGCCTTGGTTTGGCAAGGTCAAGAAATAAGGTAGCACAGTTTGACCCCCTCGAGTTCAGACATGTGGCAGTGCAGTTGTGGGTGAGCAAAGTCACCCCACAAGACGTCCCATGATCGAAAAAACAGCAAACACACAAAGGAAATTGGGGAATTGTCGAATTGGAGGATTGTAAAGTTGGGACCCCATGTGTCTCTTGGTAGGGTATATAGTATATCCATGAACCCTTCCCGATCCTGGCCCCGTCCTGGTCGTCTGCAAAAGTGATAGAGCTCCGAACACAAATCCATCATGACTGTTCCTGTCTTGCTGCCTTGGAGCAGGTAAAATGAGAGATTTCTCACAGCGAAAAGAAGTCACTGAGGAAAAGCAACTTCAAGAAAGTCACGACGCATCTGCAGCCCATGTAACGTCCTTCAGCAGAAGCCACGTCAGAAGGTGGACAAACCAGGCGGCCCAAAACCGAAAGTCCGAATCCAACGAGTCAAGCCACATCGATGTTGGCCATCTAACTCAGAAACGAAGCCAAGTCGTTCCCTCAGTTCCTTCAAACCATGTGGACCCTGAGTGAGTCAACTTCGGAACCTTTCGGTACAGTAGACCGATCGCTCCTGAACCTACGCTCCTTGAACTGCCATTCTTTTGGACCGAGCGACCCACCACCACGCCGTAGACCCGGGCGCCAGAAGACTTGGCTTCGTCCAACTCCACTAAGACTTTCTCACTGGGCTTTGGGACCTCCCCGTCCTCAGGCCGATCGGTCGATCGATGTGAGCGCAAAAGCCGAGGAGAAATGGGGACAAACCGCGAGCCCGGCGGCGTTGTCCTTCGGAACAGTCCATCTGTGTTTCCCCCAAGCACTGAAGCCAAAAAAAGATTGGTGAGATGCACACCACAAGATGAAGCATTCTGAAGCATGTAAGCTGATGGCATGATAACTCCTGCACCTCACGCGCCGCCCCTCTTCGCCCAAACACTGTGACGACCAGGAGGTCGGCATTCTGCCACTGGGCCAAGTGGAGCCTCTCGACGCTGGCAGAGAGCACCTGGCCAAACTCCGTCCGGCAGCGAGCTTGGACTCTGCAGGTCTGCAGCGACACTCCCGTCTGCACGGTCTGCACGGCCCGATGTTGGGGTCGTAAAGATGCACGACACAAGGGTTGGGCTAGCAAAGCGTCCTGGCCAATTGTTTCCACAGTTGGAAGGGATAGCTGGTGAAGAGACTGCACATGCAGACCATGGAAAACAGGCAGCCTGAATCAGCCACTCAGGGCCACTCCCTCAAGCCCACACCTCATTCAGGGAAGTGCCGCCGTGGAAAGCAAAGCTGAGGAAATCCAGCAAGCCTCCACAGAGGGTCGAGGTCTCCCTTGTTATTCTACAGGGTATACAGAGATATACGTGATTGGAATTAGTGATGTAGTTGATGCGGTGGATGCTTTAAGACGCCTCTATATATGCCGTATCTCCACGTCTAGGCGCTGACTGAAAACACGTGGTCCAAGCATGCTTGGATGTATGTATGCAATGTATGCAATATCTTTTAGCACCTTTGCAGAAGAAAAGACCTCAGGGTCAGTTTGCAAGGACATACCTACACTGCATAGTTGCACTGTCCAACATCATTTATAATATACCGAACAACACCAAGAATCAGCCCGCGAGGTGGCGCAGAGTGCCTTTCAAGTTCGAGGAGAGGTCCAGCTCCATCTCTTTCAATTGAGCACCTTTGTTCGGACTGGTCCAAAAGGTATTAGTGCCAAAAGGTCAGTCTGAAGTGACACACACTAGCTAACAGCCTAGTGGAAAAGAGGAAGGAGTCAACCACCGAATCTGTCATCGGAAGCCTGAAACAAGAAGTTCGTCTGGACATGTCTGGACTCTTGGTGACTCTGGCGTTGTTTTTCGTCCGGAGAAAACGGAGGCAATGCTTCACTGATTGCCAAATTGCTGAAGTTTATCGCAGCCCGCCACAGCCTGATCCCCGACCCCGCATGACCCCGCACCTGCACAGAAAGCGAACAGGTAACAGCGCCTGCTCTGCTGCTGAGCTTGTCGAAGGCACTCGAACCTCAATAAAAGATCCCAAAGCTGCAATGGTGAAACACCTAGGCTATGAACCCGTCAAGTCCCAGATCTCACGAAGTAGTGAGTCTGCTCCGAGAAAAGGCTGTCAGTGTGATCTTGGACCTGGACCTCCCAGTTTCCGTGCTGTATTTCAATCCCTGGTGCTTTCGTCACTCCATGAATCTCCAGGGCCGTTTGGGAAACACCATGCCATGTTACTCCGAAGACGCCAAGCCACGCCAAGGCTTTGGCCACAGCTTCCGGCTCTCCTCCTGTCACCATCCAACGAGCAACCTAATGCCTGACATAGCACCACTGCGCAAAATATGAATCCTCCCACATGGCGTCCAGGGTCTGCCAGCTTTAAGTTCGCTCATGCCCCCAACCGCCATTCCAAAAGCCAAAAGTCAGTTGGCACACTGCCCACCCAAATCCGCCCTAGATCGGGGCGTGCCCCTGGCCCTCCATCCCCCCCGATATACATCCGTCTCCTCCACGAGCCATGCTTCCGCTGGTGTCCAGGCACAAGATCAAAGGCCCGTTTTCTCCCGCAGGTCGCATCTGCGGCACCGAGTGTCGGGGGGTCGACCGCCGCGCGACCGGCTCAAAAAAAGAGTGGCTCGTCACAGAGAGGGAAGACACCAGAAAAGGGGAAGAAGACTCGACCCACTCAGTCCGCACAAAAAAAAAGACCCACCTCCTCGGAGAGACGTTCGTGCGTTGGCACCTCCAACCAGGAGGCCCGGAGGTAGCTGAGGAGCGATTGCTCAAGACGCCGGGAATGGTGAAGTGCCCTGCCAACGGATCTTGAGGAAAGAAAATGGGGACAGCTTTGATGCGGTCGACAGCTTTGATGCAGTCATCTTGAGAACATCGGACACAATGGAACCAAGCTGATCATCAATGCACAGAAGGCTGCAAGTTCTCAACCCTCTCACCATGATTGACCCATGGGCCTAAATGTGCCACTTCATTCACACTGCTCCGGATTCAAAAAACCGCCCCAACCTCACTGACCGGTGGCGCCGTCCGTGCACCAACAGGTGAGCCTGGTGCTGGGGTTTGAGCTTCAAGAAACATGGCCACGTGGCCCTCCCCTCCTTCAAAAGCCTTGCAAAATGCTGAGATGGTCGGATCTCGAGTTTGGACTGTCTTTTCGAATGTGTTCCCTTCAAAACTCAATTGTTCTTCTGCACGCTGCCATCCCCCCATCCCACACCTCCATGGGCAACATCAGCTCCACCGACCCACTGCGCGTGAGCCCTGAGGTCTGCGTCGGTGCCGAGCTAGAGCGCGCTACCCCCATAGGGGCCACCAGCACCTGCCAGAGCGGGTCAGTTGAAGGGAACCTTGTATATAACCGAATGTTCTCCAGGGTGATTGTGATTGGGTTCTTTCTTCAGCGCTTCTCAAACTTGTCACTTCAACCTTGAAGTTTGGCTGGCCCACCATCGGTTGTCCTGATAGGAACGAGTGTCGGCTGGCGGTTGAACATCATGAAACTCTTACCCTAGGATTCCAACCACCATTGATTTAATGGGGTTCGGTAAACACCACCCATTGCTGCACTTAAGGATTTCAGAGACTACAACACCAATTCGAACCTTTGTGGTTGGCCCTCAAAAACGTCCGTGCTTGGTTTGATTTGCCTCATTGCCCTCTGCTGCGTCCTGCCTCATCCTCTGCAGGCAGCCAACGCCTGGGACCCTTGACCGCCGCGCGGCGGCCGATGCGGCGCACCAACTTCCTGCCGGAAGGAGGCCGAGGAAGCACTGCGCTGGTGATGCGAGGCCGCCGTCCCTTAAAAACCATGTGTTCAACCTGGAGGCGCCTTTGGCGTTCGGAAAAGGATTGGAAGAACATTTTAACCTCAAGGTGCGTTTGGTGGTCAAGGGCGAAGGCGAACAGGCCAAGTTGGGCTTCAACGTAGGCATCAAGATTCAAAAAATGCAAGGAAACCTTTGACCAGAAGAAGTCTAAACGTGTGTTCCAATCCCATAATAATCTATTATGACCCGGTAAACATGTTGCCCCTCCAAACGGGGTCGCCCGCCTTAGCTCCGGAAGCTTGGCCAAGACTTGCCGCAGCTCCCGGCAGGCGCGCCAGCCCTGGGAAGAATGGGAGCTTTCTTCCTTTCTCCATCAGATCTATGTACATCAAAGGAAGACCCACACCGCACCCGCGTTCAAACAGCTGCCCCGCGGAAGAGCCGCGCCTCGCTGTTGTGCCAAGGCGCCTGGCCTGACGTGAAGTGCTCCGCGAGGGCTTGGGCGCCTCCGAGGCCAAAGGCTTCCTCCTCAGATTGGGAGGGGATCGCAGATCAATGTCAAAAACAAGAACCAAGATGATCCAAGTACCATGAGTAATCAAAGAACTCATCGACATGTCGTTCAGTCCCTAGCCTAGGCCCATGAAGCACCTGTAGATCACTCCTCAACATTCCTCAACATATATAGGGTCTGCCTGCATGTTGCGGTGCAAAACCTTGAATAGCGAGGATCTTCATGCTTCATGAATCAATGGCAGTCAAACAGTATCTTTCTCCACGGCACTGCATCATTCAAAGCATCCACTGCTGGCTCCCAGTCTTCTCGAAACTCATCCATAAGCTCCTCCGAACACATCGAGTCAGCTGCAAGATCTGCAAGTGAAACCGGCACAAACCCGTAAGAACTTCACACCCGGTCTCCAATGTGGGAGACCTTCAAGATCCATATCAACCTGAAAGACCTTCACGACTGCGCGGGCCTTTTTGGAACTTCAGGTCCCGAGTGTTGGCCGGGCTACAGATCCCCCCAGCAGCTGAGCTGCCAGCCCGCTGAGATCTTGCGTATCGGCGCAAGCGCCTCTTTGGGAAGGCGGTCCCACGGGGCTCCCCTGTGCGAGAAGAGCCCCTGCTGCCGACTTTACAGTTGGGCATGCTCTCGATCCACGCGGCCCAAAAAAGACTTCGAAGAGGTTCTCCCCAGGCCCGACTTCTCCCCGCGCGCGACGGAAGAGGAAGGAATAGAACCCGTGCAAGTTCACAGCTCTTGGTATGATCTGACGATTCGAGATGATCTCAGAGCTTGTGTTGTTGCCATGACCGAGGGGGCACGCTCAATCCTACACAGGGTGTGGTTCAAAAGCACAAGGCCACAAAGCGGCGCAGAGGATTAAGATTAAGACAACGCTTTCGCTGTCTCTGCGGCAGCCACTGAGACTCTGCCTGTACTAGTATGGCTATGGGAGCCTCGTTGGGAACCCACATACAGAAACCCTTCGGCCCTTCCAATCGCCTTGGGTGCAAGTAATTCACAGTGTGTGCAAGTAATCGCCTCCCTGCACCACTGGGCTCTTTCACGATTCACCACTCTTGTTGAGAGTTTCCATCTATGGGCTCCCAAAGGGGCACTACTGTGAGCTATGAAACCCAAAAAGGCGTCCGACTGCAAAGGGCTCCCAAGGGGGCCTTGCCTCCAAGGGGCGGTCACAGCCAGCTTGAGCAAATGGAAGTTCGGAATGATTGCAACCCCCGCGAAGGCACTCTACAAACTCGCAGGGTCCGAGGATCGAATTCGACATGCGCACTGTGCAGCATGCTTTTCGGGGCAATTCTGCTGCAATATATGTTTCGCACGTTGCAGCCTTTTGGTACTGGGCCTTCGAATCTTCATGTTCTGCTTTTGAATGGAAACAGCTAGGGTCTGCTCTTGAAAGAAAAACTTTATTTATAATTATATATAAGGACCCTGCCCCATCACCCATCCATCAAGGCCCAATTCTTCGCTGGGTTGGCCCACTGCACTCAAGCTCTTACCTCTCAGTGCATGGCCTTCAGCGAGGCACCAAGCTCTGCAAGCGCCTCACTGCCAAACTTCTTCCGGGCCTTGGGTCGGACGGATTTGATCATTTTGATCCCCCACTGTAGTAAGAAAAGCCTTGCTCTTGGGGCTTATAAAGACCTGGGGACTCACTGTAAGGACGGAGACCTGAGGACCCACGCAAGCATGCTCGGAGGCCCTTGACTACTCACAGAGCACTTCGCCGAATGCCCAGGCACTGCACACATGATATGACGTCCGTTTGCTGTCCGGCGCAGCCGCGGGCCCAGCGACACCAAAAGCTGCAGAATGCGCTGCTGCTCATGACCACGGCAGCCACTGATGGCGCGCTGCACAATGTAATTCCCGAAACGGTCCAGGGCAATCCTGGGCAAAACGGATGGTGAACCACAGGATCGAATTGGATCATGCTGGTGAAGGAACTGGATTTTTGTGCTTTCTTTTTCCCGAATGCGTAGCGAAGGGTTCTCGTTTAACTCTTGGGGGTCTGGGGGTAGAGCCTTGTTCGCGACCCGTTGTTTCCATGTTCGCAACCGTCCGCAACCGTTCGCAACCGTCCGCGGTAGAGCGCTAAGGCGCTGCCATTGGGGGAAGCTTTTGCAAGTCACTATTCATGGATGTGTCACGTGTCAGCTTGCGACGCTAGTCCATTGTGATTTGCGTGAAAATGACATGTCGCGCAAGAAGCGTGATGCATTTCGCTGCACAGGCGCAGCGTTTTGTGAGATCCGCAGTTTGCTACGCAGTTCCATTGGGATTAGCGTTTGGAGAGTCGTGTTTTTGGGGTTTTGGATGTGGCCGTGCCATTGGGATTTGCGTTTCAGGGTGTGGCATCGAAGCTCTGTTTTCGTGACAAGTCTCAGCTGAAACGCCGATTTTGGTGGATGGGAGTGTGCTCAGAACGGGTCATTCCAAACGTGTGGTGTGGTGCAAATTTTGTTGAAGCTCACATGAGATGACATTGTTACTTTTCGTGGCAGGCGCAGGACTTTGTGCGGGTTTTGAGGTGTGGAAGTGGGATTTTCGTGGCAGGCGCAGGGAATCGTGAGGTTGCGATGTGTGGCGGAGGTGACATTTCGTGGCAGGCGCAGTATTTTGTGTGCGTTAGACGTGTGGACGCGGAAAGATTCGTGGCAGGCGCAGGGAATCGGGAGGTTGTGAGTTGTGGTAGAGGTGAATGTCGCTGTCACATTGGGATTGGCGTGTGAGCGGGTGTCGTTTGGAGGGGCTGGAATCGCGAAACTGCTTGGCAGGGCTGCGTGATGTGTGTGCTCCGATGGGTGTTTCCGCTGGACTTTTGGAGGAAGTCTCGTGCGAAACGTTCGTTTTGCAGACTTTGACATGGGAGTTTTTGAAGAAGTCTCGTACGAAACGCTCGTTTTGGGGACTTGACATGTGACTTTTGGAGGAAGTCTCGTACGAAACGCTCGTTTTGGAGACTTGACGTGTGAATTTAGGAAGTCTCGTACGAAGCGCTCGTTTTTGAGACTTGACGCGTGACTTTTGGAGGAAGTCTCGTACGAAACGCTCGTCTTGCAGCCTCGCAGCGTGACTTTTGGAGGAAGTCTCGTACGAAGAGTGTGCCCTACAGGAGTGTCCTACAAGAGTGTCCCACAAGATTGTCCCAAATGAGTGTCCCACTGGAGTGTCCCACAAGAGTGTCCTGCAACAGTGTCCCGCAAGAGTGTCTCACAAGAGTGTCCCGCAACAGTGTCCCACAAGAGTGTGTCCCACAAGAGTGTCCCACAAGAGTATCCCACAAGAGTGTCCCACAAGAGTTTCTGACAAGAGTGTCCCACAAGAGTGTCCCACAAGAGTGCCCTACAAGAGTGTTCCACAAGAGTGTCCTACAAGAGTGTCCCACAAGAGTGTCCCACAAGAGTGTCCCACAAGAGTGTCCTGCAAGAGTGTCCCACAAGAGTGTCCCACAAGAGTGTCCCAAATGAGTGTCCCACTGGAGTGTCCCACAAGAGTGTCCCGCAACAGTGTCCCGCAAGAGTGTCTCACAAGAGTGTCCCGCAACAGAGTCCCACAAGAGTGTGTCCCACAAGAGTGTCCCACAAGAGTGTCCCACAAGAGTTTCCGACAAGAGTGTCCCACAAGAGTGTCCCACAAGAGTTTCCGACAAGAGTGTCCCACAAGAGTGTCCCACAAGAGTGCCCTACAAGAGTGTCCCACAAGAGTGTCCTACAAGAGTGTCCCACAAGAGTGCCCCACAAGAGTTTCCTACTAGAGTGTCCCACAAGAGTGTCCCACAAGAGTGTCCAGCAATAGTGTCCCACAAGAGTGTCCCACAAGAGTACCCCACAAGAGTGTCCTACAGGATTGTCCCACAAGAGTGTCCCACAAAAGTATCCCACAAGAGTGTCCTACAGGAGTGTCCCACAAGAGTGTCCCACAAGAGTTTCCGACAAGAGTGTCCCACAAAGGAGTGCCCTACAAGAGTGTCCCACAAGAGTGTCCTACAAGAGTGTCCCACAAGAGTGTCCCACAAGAGTGTCCCACAAGAGTGTCCTGCAAGAGTGTCCCACAAGAGTGTCCCGCAACAGTGTCCCGCAAGAGTGTCTCACAAGAGTGTCCCTTAAGAGTGTCCCACAAGAGTGTCCCGCAACAGTGTCCCACAAGAGTGTCCTACAAGAGTGTCCCACAAGAGCTTCCTACAACAGTGTCCCACAAGAGTGCCCCACAAGAGTGTCCCACAAGAGTGTCCTACAGGAGTATCCCACAAGAGTGTCCTACAAGAGTGTCCCACAAGAGTTTCCTACTAGAGTGTCCCACAAGAGTGTCCCACAAGAGTGTCCTACAAGAGTGTCATTTGGACATATGTAGCTTTTTGAACGTGTTTGCATTCGGGTTCGTGGGCTCCATCTTGTTTTCAAATCTATGGACGGTGAGAACGATGACCACCATGAAATCTGGGCCAGCGCCAACATTCTGTTGTGCTGGGTTTCTGCAGTTGCAGTTAAATTGGGCCTGGACACGGGTCTCAAAAAGGATTGTGTGCATCGTGCATTGAGCTGTGGCTTGGAGCAAAGCTCCAAGCCATGTTGCTCTCGTGGCGCCTTCAGACAGAACATCGGTCTGCCGTCCTCCCAGCTGGCCCGCGGCCAGACGTGTCGGACACGTTTGTCTGTTTGTCGCTGTTGGCATCCGATGCCGAGCACCAAAAAGGCGGATGCTTCCGTGGATCGATGCCTTGCACCTCTTACTGTAAGGTGAAACTGACGAGTGTAGACACAGTATATACGGTAATCAAATATCAATGATATCAATGATATCAAGAATTACTGCCCTGGGCCCTGGTAAGGTCCACAAAACATCCGTCGGAAAAGTCTTTCAAGCTAGTGCAAATCAAAGCATCAGCGAAAACACTGAGGTGCTGCCTTCGCCGAGCAAGGCTGACATCACCTGACAACTGGCCACAAATGTGTGAGCTGAAAGCCTGAAAGTCCCTCCAATTCTCCATTGAAATTGATCCCCAATTAGATTTACTTCCTGAAAACCTACACTTCAGGAGCTGAGTGGCAGCATCTCGCTCTTCTTTCAGCTCTTGAGCACGCTCGCCGCTCAGGGCTTCTAGGCACTGATCCAAGACCAGGCTGGCATGTCGATTCCGTGCATAGACCTCAAAGCAGGGTGACAGCATCAATCCTCTCAACGTGTAACACGCCCCCGCAGCCTTCGCACAAACAAACGAACTAGCAACTACAAAGCTGGTTGTGGAAATGGCTTGCGAGCTGCTTGAAGCTAGAATTGGGACAAGGGCTGGAAAGAAGGGCATGAACACGCAATGTTGCCTGTCCAATGGCTATCACAAGGTTCATCAACAAGCTGACATGCTTGTAGGTGCCAGTCCCAACTGCACAAATTCAAAAATATATCCAACACCACCTTCCTCCGCTGTTGAAAAACTATACCGTATAGGATATGGTTTACAAGTCAAGAACCTGTTTGGGGCTTTCGGCGACTCTCCACTGCCAAGCAGCCAACAGCTTGCCCTCCTCTGCAAAGAGACTCTCCACAATGCGCCGCAGCTCTGCACCGCTGCCATGCACCAGTAAGGCCCTAAGCACGTTGTGGCCATAGGCGTCCGTTACAAGGCGCTCCAGGTTATCTGGCCTGAACTTCCAGGGACAGGCCAGAGAGTGCGTAGTGCGTCGCGGTGGCTCTTATGTTCATTAGCTATCAGGGTGCCCCCGTTCATCGAAAGGCCCTTCTTACTTGCGAAATCGCAATATTGCACTGAGCTGTTCTGATAGTCACCTACAAGCGGGCTGGCAAAGCAGCCGATTCTCAAACCCCTCCATTCCTCACAGACCTCTCAAACACCTGTGTCTTGCAAGCCAAATACCAGGAACTATCTCCCTGCACTCACACAGATCGGGTCTGCGGCTCCTCATGAGCTTCTCCACCAACTCTGTCATGTGACTTCCCTGACAGTGCTCGATCAGCCGCTGCAGGACCCGGCAGGAATACACCTGCAAGCTATGGCCGGCCTAGTGGAACTAGAAGGAGAGAAACAGCCTCTTGCACGGCGATTTCTCGTACCTAAAGAATCCAAAGTACTGAAAGATTACAGTGGCTACTAGCTAGTTGGAGCCTTGAGCAACAGACCACAATCAGAAATGATGTGTGGACACTTCTGTCACGAAATGGGGTACAAGCAACTACAACAGTGCCAGCGGCTGATGACAATCCCAGGCGCATCCAAAGCTGCCACAAGCGCGTGGTTTTTCAATTCCTGACAAAACAGATGTGCAGAGATTCTGAAGGGAAAGAGGACAGGTGGGGGATGGATGACGAGTCCGATGACAGGTCCCCCCATCCACCACGGTCCGCACCGCGGCACCACACAGAGGCTGGCTGGTCAGTCCCGGTGCACTGCACGTCCGCCAAGTGTCACTTGCGATGAACGAGATCGCGGGTTGCGACAAAAGCTCCACACACTTCTGCAGGACAAAGTTCCCATGGAGATGCTGACTGCAGGAGAGCACCTTGCCTCAGAGTCGAAGCCCGACTTTCGGAGCCTGCGGAGCCTGCTACTTGTTGCACTTACCAGTCTTACCATTCCATGTCACGTCTTCTGACCTTCATGGTTCACCAAGCTCCCTTTGATCCTTCCTCTCGCTTTGCCCAACCGTCCTTCAACCGACAGCGGTCTCCCACCCGACCTTTCAGCTCATCCTTCAGCGCGTCTTGCAGCTCGGGACCTCCGAGCTCCAACGCCTGCTGTAGCACCTGAGCGAGGGGCGATTTTTCGCCCCCGTCACTCCACACGTCTGGGGACGTGTCGGACACGAAAGGGGAAAGAAAACAAACGACAAAGAGATGGATACAAATGTTGACCTCCAGCATGAAGCACGGGTGCAGAAAAACCGTTTCTATGCAAGCTGAGTGGCCCAACAGCCACGCTTGTCCCTCGTGAGCTTCAGGAGGCTGCCGCGCAGGCTTGAGACGAGCCGCCGCCGAAGATCTGGAGCCAAGTCCGGCAGAGAGATCAGCTGCGAGATCACAGGGCTAGCATGGACGTCGCATGCCAAGCGACAAATGTCCTCACAAACAAGGCGACGGCTCAGGAACTGGCCCAAAAGCCCAAACGGGGAGTTCCTTCCGCCTTGTGCTTCCAGTGGTTCCTTCTGACGTTCCGTTCGTCCAAGGCTCTGGGAGGACTGCCGCCACCAACTCCCAACAAAAGGCATCGAGGGTGGCGCCGCTGAGCCGAGAGAGCTGGCACGAGACGAGCTCGGAGCCCTCCTTGTTGCGCAGCGCTTGCACCATGGGAACCCCACCCGCCGTCTTCTCAGGGCTCTCAACACAGGCCACCTGAGGTCAGGTCTAGCCGCTAGCCCGAGAGAAGTAAGTGAACCAAGGCTGTCTCTGTGTCTCACATTTGGAGCATCCCGCAAGAAGTTCAAGCCATGAACATATTGAAAGTACTGTGACAGTGAATCAATGAAATCATGGGGGATGGGATCCATGCACCAGCTCTTTCTGAACCAAGCCTGGGGCTCCATCTCCGGAGGGCCAACAGCCAGCGGCAGGCTCTTCGGTTGCACGCATGGCTGTTCCGAGAAGCAGGGCAAGAAGGTGGGGGTTGCCGGCAGAGCCAGGCCAGGCGGGACACTCTGAGGGGTCAGGCACCGCTGAAGGCATTCGCTCAGCTGGGCGGCAGGGAAGGATGGCGGCTTGCAGTTGGGATCCAGAACCTCAGAAGCCACGCAAAAAAAAGAGAGAGAGAGAGAGAGTGAGTGAGCGAGCGAGCGAGCGAGCGAGTGAGTGAGTGAGTGAACTGCAGGAGGATGATCAAGTCTGAAAATCGTTCTGAGCTGGTCAAATTCGCCTCTAACAAGCATCACACCCGATGAAAATGAGGCCCACACCTTCATCGGCGATCTTGGCGACATCTCATGTCCGTGTCGAAGGCCGCGGTAGCCAGCCGTCATTGCGAGGGAAGCGTTTCGCGGCTGGGGACTATGCAGAATTCAGCCAAGGCTGCACGGACATCAACTTCGCAAGTACTCCACCTACCATCCAAATATGGAAACAAATGCATGCTTTCTGACTGGTTAGTTTGAGCTCGGGTGCTTGGCCCTTGAGCTTTGACAATGGCAGGGTCAACTAGGATCTACTGTACCTGAACCTGCTGGAGAACTGAAAAAGAGCATCCGCATCTTGCTCCTGCGCCAGACTCTCTCCCGAGGGCTGCATATTGGGTGGGGAAGATGAAGACTCCTGCAGCTGCGGCTAACATCCTTCCACATCCACAACTGCCCTTTGTCCGTTGGACATGTCCAGCCAAAACCCACAAAACCGCACACGCCACACGGTTTAACACCACACTGAAACCTGGCATGAAGAGCATGCAGGTTTCAACGCTTCGCGGAGCAAATTAGCATGCAGATGCAATCATAGGCTCAGCATTGCAGGAGAAAGATGAACTCTTGCAGTGCAGGAAGTGCTGTTTGAGCCTCTTCTGATGCAGAGCACCAATACCCCAAAAAATGACAACAAGGTACGCTCCTCCACCGGCTGCTGCCCATCTGCCTGTGGCGCACTCTGACCTGCATCCTCCGGCCGATTGTCAGGCTGGTCGCCATCGCCCTGGGAGTCTGGCCTGGAACGTGGGACATGGGGTGGGGACATCGTTCTGGGATAAGGCAAGCTCGATTAATCCCAGGGGCTCGTGTGACAAGGGTCAAGGCTTTAGAAAAGAATTTCTTTGGCGTCACAGCCACCAAAAATAAAATTAAAAAAAGCGTCAGCAGGCCCAGAATCAACATGCCATTGTGTTATTAGCAGCCCCGTTGGCTCTCCATAAACTGTGAACCTTGCCCAAATCCTTCCCAGCATATTATGCTTCAGCCCGCCCACCTGGACTTGTCATCTTGGCCACCCTGTGCTTGGGCCGCGTCTGCTGCAGTGCCCATTGCTTCACTCATCTGTACAACCATCCTGGCCAAGCACGCTGCACATGGCTGGCTGCGCAGAAATTGGTGTTATATACACTTACTGTATATAGACAAATTTAGACCGCACTCCCTGCAAAGAAAAACGTGGCCATCCACCTGCAAACCGAAGGGGCTGATCTTTTCGCTTGGGAGGAGGCAAACCCGCCGTTTGATCACTGACGACCCATGGGCAGACTCGCCCATCGCCACATCGCCATCCCACTGTCTCTTCCAGGGCACTCCAGGAGGCGGAACAGCAGGGCATCAATCAGTTCAGGATACCTCGTCAGTGCCAAAAAAAGAGAACATCCGTGACTTGTTTAGACACTCTCCAACACCATTCCGAATAGCAAGTCGGTCGGGCTAGACTTAGAGGGAAAAGCAGCGCAACGCGACCCGGTGCCTCTTGGTAAAGCGTGGAAGTTGGAGCTCATGTAAGGTTTGCGTCCAAAGCTGACAAAGACTTTCCTGGGCCAGTCGGCCAAGTTCATGCATGAACATGCAGAAACTGAAGGGAAATACATCCACCTGTGTTACTTGCGCGGAGCTGTCTCCCACTCATTCTGTGGTTTTCTCTTCAAGGCTGCCCGCGGTCTCCCCACTTCCCCCGCCCTCATCCAAGCTTCGTCAGGCCAGGTGGCCTGCAGCACTACGGAAAAAATCGTTCCATGAAAAGGTGCGCCAGTCTCCAAATGCCGGTTCTACAACTTCACGAAGAAGCAACCGGAACAGCTCCCATATAAAAGGTGAACGTCAAGAAAGAACTTTTTAAAGGCATATGCCGCATACCCTCCCCGTACACCTGCCTCCTCCCAGACTTGGCCGTTCTCCAAGGCCTTGCGCCAACCCTGCAGGCCCTGCACGATTTGCTGCCACCCGAACGACGGGTGGGCCTGGCAAAAAGTTACAACACAAGCTGCTCAGCACTGGAGCTCGACAGCACAGGTGCTCCACAGCAAAAGAAATGAGAGTCTTTCATATATTGTTTGGTGCGATATGACCGTGTGACCCATTTTTTGTTGTGGCGTAAATGCTCCGCAGCAGTGTCACGTGCCAAAGAAGGGTTTATTTCTCCGACTTCGTCCTTCACAGCCGCCTCCTCTGCCCGTTGCAGTAGCGGCCAGGCAGATTCGGGGACACCGGCCAAAGGATCATTGCCCCTGTGACCATGGTGGAAATGCAGCAATCATGCTTACTTCACATTCTGAGGCCTGCTTTTCGAAACAAAAACTGTTTGGAATACCTCGACACACATTGAAGCCAGCAGCTATTGGCTCAGTCCCAGCCCAATGACCGCACAGCCTGCTGCAAACACAAGTTCCAACAATTCAACTCTTGGGCACCAAACCTGGAAATCCGACTGGCCACTCGTTTGCGCAGAACAGCAGCCACCGCCATCGGCAAGGCTAGATGTTGACCCTTTCCACCTGAGAGGCTCAGAAATAGAGAGGGGTGCATATGGGTGCGCAAGAGAATAGACAAACCCCAAAAGAACTGTGGGAACCATATCGACCATATACATTCCAAAGAAACCACTCTAATTCTAATTACGAGTTTCACACCCTTACGTTCCACAAACAAAGCATGTAGAGGAACTCTCTAAGAACTTTTGAGTCCCAGTCCTTGCTGCAGCGTCCGGCCCCCGGCCAGCCCATGCCATGGCTTTGGAAGAGGAGGCGCCGAGAGCGAGGGCACCGGCGCAGGGCGCATGGCGAGGGATCCGAGGTGATCTGATCTCAACAAAGGTCCCAAAAGAAGTGAAGCAGCACCGAAATCATGGCAACTGATTTTGGGATGGCTGACGATGTTTAGTCTAGAAGAACGTGTCTGGAATTTTGCATGCTACATGGCTATATAAATTGTTGAGGGCGTTTTGGACTTCCAGGTGCTCATGAAATTGAAGGGGAAGGACGGTTCCATCAATAAGCTCCAAAAATTTAATAATACCTGCAGCGACCAAGTCAGTGCGCGAAACTGGTCAACATAAATGTAATGTATATATTTAATAAGCTTTGAATATAATTAACATGAAAAAAATGTAAAACTTACTTCCCATCCTGAGCCTTTACCAGCGATTCCAACCAAAAAACACATCCTTTGTCCAACCACGGCCACCTTCAGGGAAACCATGTTGCCACCGCTGAAATCATGGCCACTCAACCATGCACACCACCCTTGTGTAATATATGGATTCCGCATTAAAATGTTTTGACATGGTCCGGTACCATATTTTTGTGGCTATAGCGGCTATATATGCTAGGTTGTGATCTCTTAGACCTTGGTTTCGTTTCGGTAATAAGGTCGACAACGACTTTAGCGATGGCGCTCTGAGAATGATCAACAAATGCAATGTTCGGGACAGCCAAGCTTGGCAACCGATTTGGTTGGAGAGCGGCTGCACCTCAATCGGAAACAACAAGTTCGACACCTGGCGAGTGCTCTCCCACCATAAGAACCGAGAAGAACTGGGAAGGCCAGCAGCCTGCAACGCAAGTGCAGTTCAAACCTTCGGTTTTCTGCTACATTTTGCCTACTTAAATTAAAACTATGATCGTTCGCCTTGCCTCGAAAGAAGCCAATGGAAATGGCGAAGCTAAGGGCTCGATGACGCTCACTGTCTGCTGACCGCTTGCCTTAAAATGGTTTTGGGCAAAGCGAGCGGCCGTCGGCCACTAAACGGTGGCAGTGTCATTGATGCATGAAATGAATGCAGCTGAGAGGCACGGGCCGCTTTTCGCACACACCTAACTTGAAACTTAATCAATGATGCACACAGCGCGATTGAAGTTCCGGCGCCTGCCATCCACACATGCAATGCGAGAAGCTGGGCTGTGCCGTTAATAGCACTTTAAGGTCTGTCCTTCCTTGCCTGCTGCTATCTGCCTCTGCCACGCTCTGCTGCCAACCCACCAGCCACGCGGGAACCCCTGTCAACAAAGCCCGCAACATAACCGGAAAATAAACAAATCGTTCGACCAAACACAAGCCTGCCGAGGCACTGTTGCTTCATGGCGGGGACAAGAAAACGTTGTCAACATGAACATGTCCAAGTATGATTGCTACTGGGTTCGAATTGGTAGCAGCGCCCTTGTTCATGCCTAAATGCGCTCCTTTGCAATAGACAGGCTTGTGCTGTGTGGCTGAAGAATGAGTGTTTGGGCCAAAACCCAGCAAAAACAAACAGTCAAACACCAAGACCGGCACCCAGCGAGCCGACCAAACCCATACCCTACGCCCTACGCAAACACAAAGATGTGCCCACTACATTGGCCTCAAAGTTGGTTTCAAAAAACAAGTGCAACAACCACGTTTGTTGTGGGTTTCAACAATGTGTTCATAATGTAGCTGGCATCTGATAAACGACGTAGTTGTGAACAGGTTGCTATACATTTCTACAAAAATCGCACCATTTTACCATTTGACTTGTTGGGGACGCTTATATAATGACACCGGCAAGTTCCATAAGTTTGTTCTCGTGCTGCAAAAGTAGTTGATGAGCACGGTTGCTATGCTCCGACAACGCTGGTTTGGGTTCGGCCCGCATTGCATTTCAATCATACATGACGCATACGATATGCAGCGCAAGCGCGCTCTTTTATGTCATGCTGCTCACAATAGCCGTGCGACCTGTCAATATGCAATCTATTGACTCTTGGACATCAGTTGAACCATCGGTGGCACAAATATGGCCTGTGAAAACGGGGCGTCCCGCGCGAACAATGCTGGAATTTGACTCAACAGCAACAGACGGTATCAAGCATCATCAAGCAATAGACACGCAAGACTCACATCCTGTATATAGAAACTTCCAAAAGAGGAGCGATTTTGTGCCTTCCCGACCTGTCCTGGGAGTGGATCAACGAAACAGCTTCGTGGTTGGCTTGGGGAATTTCAAGGAACATTGCGATGAATCTTCCCTCACCTGCTTTTGAGACGACATGTCACACACATTTCCCACACAGTCGTCCACCCAACTGACATGACGTTTCTGAAACGCCTTCCCTGCGCAAACAAGTTTTCTGCACGAAAACCGTTTCTGTCGCTCTGATACGTCGCCCCCGCTCCAAGAACCTGAGTTTCCTCGCCCAGCTCTGGCTTTCGAAGTTCGCTGCTTCACCTGCTCGACGTCTTCTACCCTCCGTTTTGCAGTGTCCATGGCCTCCTTTGCACCGTGATGGACGATTATACTGCATCACCTGTGCCTCCTGTCAGCGCTTGTTCTTGCTTTTGCCCTTGGTCTTCTTGAGGCACTGGGCATTTGCACGATGGACTTCGGTTCCGACCTGCCTACCGCGGGGCCAAGCGACGACTCAGGACTAACAGGGGAGACTCCTTTTGTGGACTCTCCAAGCCAGCCTGCGCAAATAAGCCGGCGTGCACCACGCGTGGGCAAGTGAGATCAAGTGAGGCGAAATTTGCCTGCGCAAGTGAGGGGCATGGCCCCTTATAGTTCGATGTCGGCCACGCATGGGCACCCTGGCGTCGTGCCACCCTGCACCATCGCTGGGAGCCTCCTCTCCCTAACAGCGCAGAGCAGCCTGCCCTCTCCGCTGCTGGAGCTTCCGGAGCGAGGGGGCGGCTCGCCGCCCTCCCCCCCGCCATCCTCGCGGACCTTACGCAGGACGCGCGGCTGCTCCCCTTCCCCTGTACATAGCTCCCTGCTTTCGTCCGACGATGCTGCTCCCGCTGATGAGAGAAAAAATGAGGTGGTCCTTTTTGCCAGCGCAAAGGCAGCCTTCCCCTCCAGCTTCGAGGCGCGGAGTGCTGGTGGAGGGTGTTTTGCTCAACGCTCTTCATTTGAAGTGTGCAGGAACTATTCCAGCAGAAGGGCCGCTGAAGGTGTCAACGCAGTATGTCCCATGGAGTGCTATGACCGGATTGTCAAGTAGAAAACGCACGAACTATGCTTGGAAAGCCTGGAGGCTGTCGAAGCATGCCACGATGGACGCGCCCATGGCAACGCTAAAAAGCTGGGAGGCTGGGGCGGTTCGGTGAAGGGGTCTTGTGCGAGGAGCTGGGAAAGGGTTCACCTTCGACATTTGTGCATTTGTGTGTGACGGGCAGAATCCACGCCCTGAAAGGAAGCCGCGTAAGCTGGGAAAGCTGCATGCGTGAGGGCGGCCGCTTGGTCCAACTCAGCTCTCGACATCAAATCGCACTTGAACCTTTCACTGTCTTAGTCGGTTGGGTTCCGGCCACTGGTGGAGCTGGTGGCTAGAGCTGGATTTTCCACCAACTGCCGACAAATCCTCCACATGTAGACAACGTGGAGCCTGCAAGGCCCTCACACAGGGATCCTGGCGAAGGGTCAAAGCTGGCAACATGGCCAGCCAAGTGAGAATAGCGATTCCCCTATGCACAGTCCTCCGTGCGGTCGATTGAATTACAAAGTAACAATCGATGCACTGGGCAACCCATACCACTGGGCAACCCATACCAGGCCCATGCATACACTATGCGAACCGCACACCTGAAGACGAAACCAAGTAGGAGGGCAACCAGCAACAGAATTTCGAGGAACGTTGCGCTGAGACCGGTCTCTCTGGAGGATTCACCTCCCCTCTACCCACCGCGAAGTCAAGGGTTAAGGGGAGGGCGACTTGGGGAGGGCCCTGGCGCCAGCGGCACCAGGTGGGGTGCCTGCCAGGGCCGGGGGGCTCGGGGGGTCGGCCACAGCGTGCTGCTGAGCGCAGCTGAGCACACCACACCCCATCCTCTGCCAACCAGCGCACTAGCCCTGCCTTGCGGCGCGGCGCCCGGGGCGCGCGGAGTTGGGCAAGGGCCCGGACGTGGGCTGCGCAGGCACCCCAGCGACCAGGATGCGCTCTGGCCCCGGGCTCGTGAGCTTCAGGTAGTAGGCCTCCTGGCGGAATTGCGCCCATTAGATGTGTCGCCCATCTGTGTGGGGGGCGCCCCAAAATGTCACACACATTTCTCAACCAATCATACACCCAATTGACATGACGTTTCAAAAATTCTTCCCCACGCAAACAACCATGCTGCACCACAGTAGGGCTATGTATGTTACTTCATTTTTGTTCAGGCTGACTCGAGGTAGTGCTGCGTGGCCCACTGGCAGGCAGCACGTCGGGTGGTCAATTTTGAAGCTACTGCCAGCCACCGCGCACACATCATTTCAGCCAGAAACGAAATCCGGAATGGTGACACAAATCGCAACGTCGGAGGTAGCGAGAGCGCTCCAGAGCGGAGCGCCAGAGCGAGGAGATTCAGCCTTATTCCGGGCATTGTTTTTTGGCTGGCATGTCTCCACATCTTCGAACATCCGTCCTGCCATTGTATTTTTTTGTTTGTTCTATCTCTGTCTCTCTCTCTCTCTCTCTCTTTCTCTTTTTTTCCCCTCTGTGTTTTATTTCAATTTGTTCCTCTCTACCTTTTTT